TAGTTTGTATATATCCATTCTAAATGTCCATTCTATAGGTTGCCTTTTCATTTTGTTGATTATTTCCTTTGCTGTTCAGAAGCTTTTTAATTTGATGCAATCCCACTTGTCTACTTTTGCTTTTGTTGCCTGTGCTCTTGGTGTCATATCCAAGAAATCATTACCAAGGCCAATGTCAAGAAGCTTTTTCCCCTATGTTTTCTTCTAGGAGTTTTATGGTTTCAAGTTTTATGCTTAAGCCTTTAATCCATTTTGAGTGGATTTCTGTGTGTGGTGTAAGATAAGGGTCCAATTTCATTCTTTTGCATGTAGATATCCAGTTTTCCCAACACTGTACATTGAAGAGACTATCCTTTTCCCATTGTGTATTCTTGGACCCTTACTGAAGATCAGTTGAAAACTGGTTGACCATACATACGTGGGTTTGTTTTTGGGCTCTCTATTCTGTTCCATTGGTCTATATGTCTGTTCTTATGCCAGTACCATACTGTTTTGATTACTATAACTTTGTAATGTAGTTTGAAGTCAGCAACAAATCATCAAGTATAATGCCTCCAGCTTTGCTCAAAATTGCTTTGGCTATTCAGTATTTTGTGGTTCCATATGAATTTTAGGATGTTTTTTTCTATTTATCTAAAAAATGTCTTTGAGATTTTGATAGCGATTGTATTGAATCTGTAGATCGCTTTGAGTAGTATGGTCATTTTAACAATATTCATTCTTCCAATCCATGAACACAGATATCTTTCCATTATTTGTGTCTGCTTTAATTTCTTTCATCAGCGTTTTATAGTCTTCAGTGTACAGATCTTTCACCTCCTTGGTTAAGCTTATGCCTAAGTATCAGAATAATTTTTAAATTAATACATTAAATACTGCAATAACATTTTATAAGCCAGCCCCGGTGGTCTAGTGGTTAAGGTTCGGTGCTCTTACTGTGATGGCCCAGGTTCACTTCTCTGTCAGGGAACCACACCACTTGTCTGTTGGTTGTCATACTGTGGCGGCTGTGTGTTGTTTTGATGCTGAAAGCTATGCCACCAGTATTTCAAATACCAGCAGGGTCACCCATGGTGGACAAGTTTCAGAGGAACTTCCAGACCACGACAGACTGGGAAGAAGGACCTCGCCACCCACTTTCAAAAAAAATTGGCCATGAAAATTCTATGAATAGCAGCAGAGCATTGTCTGATACAGCGCTGGAGGATGAAAGGATGGTGCAGAAAGACCAGACAGGGTTCTGCTCTTCTGTACACAGGGTCGCTAGGAGTTGGAATTGACTCCAAGGGACTAACAACAAAAAATGTTTTATAATTCTAAATGCTGACTATACATAGCACAAAATTCAAAAAATCTTTTTGGTGAATTAAAATTTGCAGTTATGGTCAGAAGACACTAAATTTGCAACAGCATTCCTCGTGGTTTTATTTCATTATTATTTTTTAATGAACCCACCAGTATTCTGGTGCTGTGCTTTTTAAAAAAAGTTGAAGAGGCAAAATCAAGGCAGCTGCCCTTTTTCTCCTTCAGAAGAAACAGAATGAGCCCGCAGGCAGCCACCAAGTTGGGAGGGTTGGAGGTGCTGTCTGTGTTGAGGCATTATGCAATCAGGCTAATTTCCTTATACCATTTGTTAAGTTAAAGGGAGGAGTAGAGGAAGAAGCCACATCCTTACTCACCCCTGGACATTAGGGAAAAACTGTGGAGCTTCCAAGACGAAAGGCTAAAAGTTGAAGTCAGCTTGTGGTATTGCCCTGGTCTAGGCTTGGCATATTACTTTGGGGGGCCCATATTTTCTCATTCCCAAACTGGGACATACGGTTTGTAACAGGAGGGACAGTTGAAGTAGGGACCATCCTGGAAAACCTGTAACTCACTTTTCTTTTTTTCTGATGAAGATTGGCCCTGAGCTAACATCTGTTGCCAAACTTTCTCTATTTTGTATGTGAGCCACTGTCACAGCATGGCGATTGATAGATGAGTGGTGTAGGTCCGTCCAAGGAACTGAACCCAATTGCTGAACTTAACCTCTAGGCCACCGGGGCTGGCCCTTTAACTCACTTCTGAAGGTCCACAAATTCCTTACTTCCTTCAGTTATTTATTTATAATATTCTACTCTTTTTAACCAAAGGCGAATTTAATCTACACTAACCAGGTAATTTGTATTAATATCTGTGTGGTTTCTCTTTGGAAGAACATGGGTTGTTGAGTAGTTCAAGAATATAAAATATTAAAACAACTTAGATATCACAGAAAAGGTTGTGTTCAAACCATCCTTATCTTTGGTGCGGGATGGGAGGTAAAAGGTGAGAAATAGTAAGGTCTCTGGATAAGATGACAAAGGGACTTCTTATTCTTGGCTTACATGGAGTACACGGTAAATCTACTGACTAGTATCAGCACTTTAATCTGTGTGGCAGAACAGGAGGCCACACTAGGAGTATGGGTTCAGCCTTCATATAGTTTGGATCCAAAATTTATCTCTATTACTATCTGTTTGACCTGGGGCTAGTTACATTAGCTTTGCGTGCCTATGTTTCTAAATCCCTAATGTGAGGTTAATAATAGCACTTGCCTCAACGCTGTTGTGAGAATTTTACACATGGAAAATCCTTAGCATGGTGTCTGATACACTGTAATTGCTGAATAAGTTTTACCTATTATCATTAAAGCATTTTACAGTTGACAAACTTTTCACTTACAGACCCTTCCACAGGGCAAGCACTGGCAGGGCGACAGTTGCAGGGAGCTCCATCTCTAAGGAGTGGAGCTGGAGAAAAATGCATTTGGTACAACTCGGCCAGGGAGAGTAGAGACGATGGCTGAAGGAAGAAGTGAGCCCTGTATGCGTTTTTTGGGGGGGGTAACGGGAATGCAAGATGAGACTCCTCTCCCTCCAAGGCACTCTCAGGATTCCAGATGGTCACTTAATGGCTTTCTAAGTACTCAGCTGGTCCTGTAAATGAACGCCAAGCAAGCATTTAAAGAATATTGGCCTGAGCCCAAGTATCAGCCCGCCTATGGCAACAACACGTGGTTGGGACCGGGCTCACACAACAACAGCAAATGCCCGCCTCGCGCCTCCCTGTGTGTGGGCGGACATCGTGCTCGGCGATTTACGTGCAACAAATCACTCAAAGGCACGGCAGTCCTGGGAAGCAAGTGCCCTTCAGTCCCGTTTCCGCAGGAGCCCGCCCAAGGTCAGGCAGCAGGCCAGGGATGGGGCCCAACCCCAACTCGCGCGCGGCGGCCCACAACCTGTGCCCAGCTCGCCGGGGATGGGGCCTCGGCAAGCGAGCTGGGGAAGGAGGGGTAGACAGCCCCGGGCCTCCCCGTCGGGCCCGAGCGCCCAGTGCAGGAGGCGCAGTCCACAGCGGGAACGTTCCAGAAGCCCCATGCGCAGCCGCGGGCGGAGAGAGCCCTCCGTCCGGCCGCGACCCCGCCCGGAGCAGCGCGGCCCCCGAGAGGGTCCCTAGCGGCGAAGGGATGCGGGGGAGGGGCGCGCGCACGGACGAAACCGCACCGTAGCGCAGGCGCATACGGGAGCGCACGCTCGCCCGCCGCCCAGTATGAGACGGAAGGCATGGAAAGTTCCAGCTGGTTAGAAAACCTTAGGTAGCAGACGCGGAGGCGGCGGCGGTGGCAGGGTCGGAAGGGGCGCGCAGCCCCCACTGGCTGCTCCCGGCCGAGCCCGCAGCACCGCCCCCACGCAGCGGCGGCCGGGCAGGGGGTCCCGGTGGGGGCGGAGCGCCGCAGGGAACCGGGCTGTCGAGGGGGCGTGGCCTGGCGCGCGGGGGGCGTGGCGCGCCGAGGGGGCGTGGCGGCCGTCTGCGCAGCTGCCAGAGCCTTTAAGCCCGGGCTCGCGCGGCCGGAGCGTGCTTTCGCCGCCAGGGAGCCTTCTGGCCCAGCAGTCTGTGAGGTCCTTGCGGTCCCCGCTCCTCCGTGTCCCAAGAGCCGGCTCGGTCCAGAGCCGCGTGCGGAGCGTTCGGGCATGCCCCGCTACGAGCTGGCTTTGATCCTGAAAGCCATGCAGCGGGTAAGTGACCTTCCCCTCAGACCCCGCCTTCCCGCGCGGGCGCCCCTGCAGCCGCTAGGCCGCCGCCCCTCGCCCTCCGCCCTCCGCGCGCGGCCGG